AAATATTATGTGTATATACAATGTATTATACAATCATATAAGGATATGCGTCCGATTAGAGTTTATATTTGTTCATACAAAATTTAGAATTAACATTTTTATTGATTTCTAAGTACAATTCTCTTAGTTATTATTATTCATATTTTAAGAATTAATAATATATATAATACAATTTGGAATAAATCAACTTAATTATATGAATTTTTTGAATTTGTTATAATTAATATAACACCGCTTTCCCAATTAAAAAATAAAACTGAAATTATGTAAAAATAACATTGCATATGATATTCTAATTGATTAATTGACGGAAAATAAAAAGAATAATTGGTTGAAAATGAATATGATATTACTAATTGACTGATATTTTACGATGATATATTTTCACCCGAGTCACCCATTCTAATGGACTGAAGATGTTAGCTATAGACGATGACGGACAAGATTATGTTGCTACTACCAATATCGTCTACAGTATGATGTTTTAATAATGTGTAAATACAATTGGTGATATTATGTTTTTTTTTAATGACAAAATTACTATATATCTACACACACAAAAAAAAAAAAATTAAAGCAATTTAGACAAAATAAAAATAAAAATTCATACAAATGAATTAGGATATCAATTCATTCCTATAACTGAGTTGCTAAAGAATGAACACGTTTGCCTAATTTATAAAAATACTAAACAATGATAAATAAAAGCTTCAAAGTTACAACACTGCACGCGTATATCTACACATTAGCTATTAATTTGAGCAATTATTTGTTTAAATTCAAGCAACGATAACATCAAAACATATAAACGATCCAAACTATATCTTCAATTGCACTATATAATATTTAATGTTCTAATTTAAATAATTATATATCAATCCAGATATTCTTAATATATTACAACAAATTCACGGGCGAAACCATATCTTTAATTGCACTATATAATATTTGAGTTATTACTGAAAAAATCAGTCTTTAATCATGGTTAATTGTATGTTACTTTTTTCCGAATCACCCATCTTGATAGTCTGATAGTTTTAACTTTAGATGATGATGGATAAAATTCAGTTACTACTACCAATGTCGTCTAACTATAAAGAGATTTTCAATAATGTATAATTTAAGCCATTGATATTATGTTTTTTTTTTACATACAAAAATGACAAAATTGCTATATAGCTGATCTACATAGAAAATATATCTTTCGTATAAATAATTTATATAACTGAGTTGCTAGACAACGAGCTAATTAGCCCAATTAATACAAATTATAAACACTGATATATAAAATCTCTAAAGTTACAACACTGAATGCGTATATCTACACGTTAACTATTAATTGGGTAATTATTTATTCGAATTCAAGCATTGATAACATCAGAAAACATAATCGGTGCAACTCAATTCTTCAATTATAATATATAATATTCGATTTTATAATTTATACAATTGTATATCGATATAAATATTTTTAAAATTTTATAACAAATTCATTCCGTGCAACGCACGGGCGCAAATACTAGTTTACAATAATACAAATATTGTGTCAAGGAAAAAATTCCTTAATTAAATTAACCATATGCACAGGGCCATTGTTATTTGATGTATCAAAGAATAACCGAAATTTGCCTACATTGTCACTAAATCCTTATTCATGGACAAAGGTACTTTACTTTGTGCTTTTATAGAAAATTATCAATAAATGTTAAGGTCAATTTCAATTGACTAATATATGAAGTGCATAAAATTATTGCTAGGTTGCAAGCTTTATCTTTTTAGAGTTACCCGTGGGAACAGGATTTTCGTATGCTAAAAGTTCAAAAAATTATAGTGATGTAGAAACAGGTTATCATGGAGCTGAATTTATTCGCAAGGTAAACACTTTTCAGTTTTCACTGTGATAGGCACACGTGCACATATATATTGTGAAAATTGCATTAGTTAACTAATACTTGGATTATTCTATAGTGGTTAGAAGATCATTTTCAATTTCAATCCAACTTATTCTATGTTGGTGGAGACTCATATTCTGGTATTACCATTCCAATGGTTGCTCAAGCAATATCATATGGTAATAAGTCATTATAAAATATTTCATTGAAGTTTATGTGATTCATTAAAAAAAAAGATAATTAAATTAAGAATATATGTATCATTGAACTTGTAGTATTCACTTTATGAACCTACAGTACTTACTTAATGAACATATGATAGCAACTTTATTAACTTACAATAATTACTTAATGAATAAGTTGTAGTGACTTTATTAACATATAGTACACACATGCATTATTGATTTCATGAACCTAGAATAGTGACTTATTGAACAAGTAGCATTCACTTAATAAACATACAATAGTAAATTAGGAACTTAATTGACTTGTTGTAGTGACTTTATAAATAATCTGTAGTAATGAACCAACAATAGTGACTTTATGAAACTATATATTAATTTTTAAAAATAAAAAAAAAATCAATGTGATGTCATTTAAAAGATTGCAATTAGAGTTTTTTTAACGATATTTTTATACAATAATTTTATTTGTATAATAAAAAATTTAAGTTAGAAAAAAAAAAGTTGTTGGAAAAATGCTTGTTTTCTGTAATACAACAAAAAATACAGAAGAGCATAAAAGAATATGAAAAACTTTAAGGCGTTTGGTTCAGGTTATATAAGATAACCAAGGTTATATTTGGTAATATAAGATTCCCATGTTTGGTTCAGGTTATATAACTTCCCAGAGAATGTCAGATAACCTCTGCATTAAGTTTTTATGTATTGGAAGGGAATGTGAGATACCCTCCAATTTCTTAGGTAATCTCACATTCAGCAAATTATGCTATGGACCCGTGTCCACCATGTGCATGGTGGACACGTTGTACATTCATAATTTCTATACTGTACATTCATAATTTCTAAACTGTAGATTCATAAAATTTATAATGTACATTCAAAATTTCTATACTGCACATTCATAATTTATGTACTATAGATTCATAATTTCTGTAATATAGATTCATAATTTCTAAATTGTATAGTTATCAAATTATGAATACATAATTATCAGATTATGAATCTACAGTACAAATATTATGAATGTGCAATATAGAAATTATGAATCTACATTATAAATTTTATGAATCTAATATATAAAAATTATGAATCTACAGTATAGAAATTATGAATCTACAATACAGAAATTATGAATGTGCAGTATAGAAATTATGAATCTACAGTATAAAAATTATGAATGTGCAGTATAGAATTTATGAATCTACATTATAAATTTTATGAATCTACGGTATAAAAATTATGAATCTACAGTATAGAAATTATGGGCATGGTGGACACGGGTCCAGGGCATAACACTCCCTCACATTCCCTTGTCTTATTACTAATGTTGAGCTTTGGACGTTTTAATAAATTTATCTTATTACCATTGTCTTATTTACATATCTTAGTTTTCAACTAAACACAGGAATCTAACATTCCCAGCAATCTAACATTACCAGCAATCTAACATTCCCTAAGGTAATCTAACATTCTCTATGGTAAACTAACATTCCATGAACCAAACGCCCACTTAAGTGTGTACTCACTTTCCAAGTTTTTAATCTCCCTTACTAACCAACATGGAAAGTCAAATAACATGCATAAGCAGCCTTTAAATAACATGCATCATCATATTTTAAAATTTTTTCCTCTAATTAACCAGAACACCTTTACCAATCAAAATAAATTCCTACCAAACTTTATAAAATATTTATAACACCACAACACCTCAAATAGTATTTATACTTTTATGATTGTACAGTTGAAACATTAATCACCATTACGATACAACTATCCAATATGGGTGTGGGAATTATGTGATATATTTTGATAAAAGTAACTTGGGTTCGTTAATATTATATTGCTATATGAACATTGGTTCATGATATAAATATCCGTGCAAAATATTTTGTTTCAATATGTTACAGACACTATCCATCATTACAAATTTTTTAGTGTCATGAATCTTTATTTATATTTTAAATTTTTGGTTAATATAATTAATATATTTCAATAATTGTCCACTTGTTAATTTACAGGGATTGATGCAAGATTTAAGCCACACGTTAATCTTAAGGTTGGTAAAGATTTTAAGTATGAACATGTTTCATTTACAACACATACACACATACATGTGTGTATATATATATATATATATATATATATATATATATATATGTATTAAAAGGGCAAGTAAAATGTATTACAACTGTAATAATATAATATATACCCAGCAACATTATTAAGTGCACATAATGTCATCATTAGGTGCACCAATGTAAACAAATAAATTACTTGCATTATTAGGTGAAAATGGTTGCACTTTTAAATGATTTAAGTTGCACATTTTATTTGCATACTTGAAAGTACATTTACTTGCACTTTTAACACATGTTAACCTAAAGAGTGGTTCTCTTTAATAAATCTGTAGCAATTAGAACACACACACACGCGATGACATTTTTGTAAATAACTTGAATTTAAAGTACAAGTAACACTAAAGTGCAACTGTACTTTCAATAATATAAATTGAATGTAAGCAAAGTTACGGAGTGCACCTGTTGAATATTCCAGTGATATTTAGCAAAGAACTTGAATTTGAATGTGCAACTAGTAGCACTATAAAGTGCAATTATCAACAATATATAGTGCATCTTTTAATAGCACTTGTACATATGAGAGGTGCAGTCAATTTGGTGTTGCTAGTTGCATTCTATGATGTTGTTAATTGTACTTTAAAATTTGAGTCATTTACGAAAATGCTACAGCATTTTTTTCCCATTTCTCCTTACTTTAAAGCCATTAGATCTTCCTAAATCCGATCCATAGCTTTGAGTAACACGTCTTGCAAGTTATGTTGCACTAGGGCTACATAATTGGCAATGGAAACACATTTGCAGTTGACATCCGCTATTATATATACTTACCGAACGGCTCGCGAATTAGGTCGTATTTCAGAAGAAGAGTATACGGTAATTGTTCTTGATTGTTTTTCTTTTATGTGTTAGGTTTGTAGAAATTTTAGTATGATGCCTACTATTATAACTAACAAGGGGCAATAAGCTAGATTTTTTTCAATAAGATTATACTTATTTAGAAAATTGTCACTTTTCATTTATTATACGCCTTCTGTCTAATTTTATGTGTCTTGGTTAGTGAGAGTTTGCTAGAATTATTTACAATTCAATTTTTTATAATATTAAAATTTTAATATAAGAATATAAAATTTATATATCTATAAATTACATTAAAAGTAATATTAAAAAATTATATTAGAAATAATAAGGAATTACTAAAGCAAATAAATAAACAACGAAAAAAAATTGATTTGACAAATAGTACGTAGGATGGTAAAATGGGATACGAGTAATAGACAATTTTTTATTGTTTATTTTTTTTTTGGGTATTGTAAGTTTTCCTAAATTTATCAAAAAATTTTATAATGTCAAATACAAAAAGTAGTAAAGAATGTGAAATATTTTATAATCTTATGAAAATAAATTAAAATAATTGAATTAATTTTGTTAAATTATAAAATGTATCTCATCTTTAATTGAATTAGATGATTATTCATTTGAAATGGTAATCAAGTTGTTATCACACTATATAGTAGTGGTTATTGTTAATTATTTGATTCCTAATAGCTTAATTATATTCACGTGCAGAAAATGGAAGATTGTATAAAGATAAAGTTTTCTGATCCAAATTGCAGGAAAGAGGTCAGCAATCATTCTAACTATATTTATATATTTTTGAATGCAACTATAATTTTATATTAAAAAATAGATACGCCCTGAGTTTTATAAATTTTTTTTTTTTCCTTTTTATCAATTTTAGCCTATTCCAATATAATCATCATTTTAATATTGGACAAATAATCAGATGCTTATTTTTGCAAAACACATATAGTGGCAAATATATATATATATATATATATATATATATATATATATATATATATATATATATATATATATATATATGTGTGTGTGTGTGTGTGTGTGTGTGTGTGTGTGTGTGTAGGGAAGGGATCAGGTGCATTTGAGGTTTCCCGTGCGGTTGGAAGCACATTAAGTATTAAACTGACGCACTTTAAGCACACAAACAAAACACTTTCAGAACAACCTCACGCACGTTAAGTACAAAATTCACGCATATTAAACACAAGCCTCACGCATCTTAAGTACAAAACTCACGCATGTTAATCACAAAACACACGCACCTTATAAGTTTCAACAACTACTCACATTAAGCACAACCTCACGCACGTTAAGCACAAAACTCACGCATGTTAAGTACAAAACTCTTGCATGTTAAGCACAAAACTCACGCATGTTAATTACAAAACTCATGCACTTTAAAGTTTCAACAACAACTCACATTAAGTACACACGCACATTATATTAAGCACAAAACTCATGCACCTTAAGCATGAGACTCATGCACCTTAAGTACAAAACTCACGCACATTAAGAAAAAGCCTCACGCATGTTAAGCACAATAGTCACGCACCTTAAGTACAAATCTCACGCACATTAATCAACCGCATAACCGCACGGGAAACACTTAAATGCACCTGAACCTCTTTATATATATATATATATATATATATATATATATATATATATATATATATATATATATATATATATATATATATATATATATATATATATATATATAATTAAAAGAGTTAATTCCACCGAATGTCTTTTGTCTTTGGTGTCAATTTTAAATTTAGTCACAAACTATCGTTTTGATAATTTAACAACTTAGACTATTATTTTTTAGACTCTTTTGCTCCTTATGAAATTTCCAATTTTAGGTATGGGCATTTTTGTCTTTTCATATTTTACTTTTGTTATTTTTCCAGTTTCAACTGGTTTAATTGGTTTCGGACTTTAGATAACCTCTGATTTTTAGTAGCCATATTTTTCAAACGATTTTTAGTAAAGTCCTAAACCAATTAAACCGGTTGAAACTAGAAAAATAACAAAAGAAAAATATGAAGAGAGAAAAATGCACTTACTAAAAATAGAAAAACTCACAAGAAAGACTAAAAGTCTTCAAAATGCTAGATGCTAAATTGTAAAAATGATAGTCTGAAAGTAAATTTACAATTGCCACCAAAGACCAACTAGGGACCTCTGGTGGAATTAACTCAAATTAAAATATCAAAGACTCAAAATATAAAGTGATGCATTTTCAATCAATTGCACAATCATTTATTAAAGTTACAAATATATAATCGACACTTTCTCTTAGAATATAACATTTTTACAATCCTCATTAAAATTTTGTGTGTGTGTGTCTATATATATATATATATATATATAGAATAAAGTTTAAATGCGGCTGGTTTTCCCGTGCGGCGGTGCGGCAAAATTTCAGAATACACCAACAATGTTAACTATATGCACCAACAGTGTATGAAAAATACACCACAATGAAATGCAATAAAACATCACAAAATACACAACAGACCCAAAAAATACACCATATAACTCACCACCCCCAATGGTGTATTTCCGAACACTGTATGGTGTTTTTACTCACACCTAATGGTGTGTGTTTGGTGATGCGTACCTAATTTGTCTCTGTTTTTTGTGGTGTATTTTCCTACGTTGATGGTGTATATTTGTTGAACTATTGGTGATGCCGCACCGCCGTACCGTAAGACACCGCCGCACATGAACTCGCCTATATATATATATATATATATATATATATATATATATATATATATATATATAGTTTTTCTTTTAATTTTTGTTTTTGTTTTTGTTTGTTTTGTTTTTTTTTTTGTTTTGTTTTTATTCTTGTTTTTGTTTTTGGTCTTAATGGAGCATGCCCAATAATGTGCAGATGACTGTGCTGTCCCTTTTTTATTGGCCTAATGTTATTGGAGAAGAAAATGATGCTAAGAGGTTCTGTGGGTTCAATGTACATGCCTTTAATCGTGGATTAATATTTTTGATAAGATCTAATTTATTTATACAATTATTTTGTAATTCCATTTTTTTGTGTGATCGTTTTCATATGTTATAAATCTCAAATATTTAATATGTTTTACCACTTTTAACAATAATGACATTCTCATAACGTGCAACATATTAGGCTGGACAAATTGCATCTCAGTGGATTAATAATGATATCGTTCAAGAGGCCTTGCATGTTCGGAAGGTAATTATTTTCTTTTTCTTCTTAAATTTTTTAAATAATGGAAAGTGTAATGACGGAAGTTTTCCCTCCACAGGAAAAAAAATTATTGATTAGGATTGAATTAATAAATAATAATTTAAAATTTCAATATTTAAAAATAATATTTACATTATTAGTGGTCTTAAAATTTTAGATATAAAGAAAAAAATATTTTTATATGTAATGTTTTTGAGAAGTCAATTCGAACTTATAACCATATAAAATATATTTTATTTATATTTTAATTTTAATAACCAATATATTGGTTACGCTTTTTTTTTTTTTAATACTACTGACTCTGTTATAATGTAGTATCTGTTCATAACTAATTACTTTCTTAACTTATCAAAGCACAAAGAGTCAATACCGCTCTCACTGGGACTCAAATCATGCTACTAGACCACAAGTCATTGACATGATATATATTGGTTATGTTGATTGTGCATTGGAATTGTTAAAATGGTTTTGCTAAAACGCATAACTCACTTTTTATTAGTGTGGCTTAGAGAAAGTACATTAAAATTTTGACAGGATAATGGTGCTGGCACCCGACCTGGATGATAAGCAGCATCTGACCCGACACCACATGGAATGGTGCTGGCACCCGACCCGGATCATAAGCAGCATCTGACCCGACACCACATGGAAACCCAACGGGCAAAACTCCAACGGGCAGAATTCCAACGGCTGTCACCTTTACTGCCATTGAAGCCACCATTGATGTCACCATTGATGAGAGAGAATTAAAGGCTTAGCTCCCCATTTATGCTTCATGGTGTTACCGTTAGCAGCTTTTGTATAAGTAGGGGCTCCCCTCAGCTTGGTGGGAGACGTTCAATACTCTGGACAAAGACACTGTATTTTCTATACTGAGACAAAAGCAATACAACTATTGTTACTCTCTCATAGCGTTATTAAATATTATTATTACCGGTAACATTATTACCGTCATTAGTGCTTTCATTGAGAGCCTGAGTCCAATACTCAAGCAGACTACGACACACACAACTCATTCCTCTTTCAACAGCAAGCTTGAAAGAATGGTGTCCCGCAGCTCCCATGGTTCCCGCAACGTTAACAATGGCAATGCCTCAGGTGACCTCCGGGACCAACTCACCAACAATCGAGGAGGGGACCTCCGAGAACAGCTCAACAACGGGAGGCCCGGGGACCTTCGAGACCAACTCAACAATGGCGGGGACCTTCGAGACCAACTCAACAATGGAGGGGACCTCCGAGACCAACTCAACAATGGAGGGGTGAACCAAGTTGTGAACCTCCAGGCGACCATTCAACAAGCAGTGACGGCAGCGCTAAATCAGGTGGCGGTGGGACTGCAAGGCCAAGTGCCCCCGCGACCCCAGGAAATAGGGGTGGAGACCCAAAGAAGTGGACCGGCCAAACGACAACCAGGCCCTTCCCAATCTGCACCAGAACGATTGGGACAGAGGGCGCCCGTGCGGCAAAGATTTGGATCACGGGCCGAGGGGTCCTCTACCAGAGGCCCTCGCCAACACGAAAACAGAGAAGCCGAGAGATCACCCACAGAGGAGGTGGGCGAGTCTCGGGAGCCGACCCCACGCCAACACGTTGATGAGTTGGCCTTACGTCAACACTTGGAGGAGCGACGCGTCGAAGAGCCGGCTCCGCGTCGGCACTCGGCGGGGAAGCGACGCGTTGATGACCGGGTTCCACACCGACACTTGGAGGAACGGCAGTCGGCCCCACGCCGGCACCCTGACGAGTCGGCCCTGGTCTAGAGGCTGCAGAGAAGAATCGAGGAGTTAGCAAGAAGGGTGGAGGCACGGGAGCAGTCGCCGGAACCCGAGGTACGGATGGCAGCACCATTCTCCCCAAGCATCATGGACGTACCTTTGCCGAGGGACTTTAGGTTGCCCGCCATCAAGGAGTACACGGGGGTCACTGACCCACGTGTCCACATGACGAGGTACAAGGCTGCTATGGTAATGATCGGGGCAGGGGACGCCATCATGTGCCGAGCGTTCTTGTCCACCCTGGATGGAGCGGCCCAAGACTGGTTCAACACCATCCCGGATGGGTCGATCCAAAACTTTTGGGAGTTGTCCAAGAGCTTCCTGACATACTTCTCCGGTAGCATACAGCGTAAGAAACCCTTCTCTCACCTCTGTGTAGTGAAGCAAGATAGAGGCGAGAGCCTCAAAGACTTCCTGATAAAATGGAAAAAGAAAGTTAATAATGTCTACGACTTCGACTCCAAGGCGGCGATCCCGATATTTATCCATGCCTTAAGATCAGGGTATTTCCACAAGCAGCTGAACGCCCACCACCCCCGCTCTTACGAAGATCTGATAAGGACGGCTAGCCGCTATGCCGAAGCAGAGGACGTCGACAGGAAGAAGAAGGACGAAGAGGATGGTAGGAAAGGTGGGAAGCCTGGGAAAGCGGGTCCGCCCAGCCAGGCACCACTCTTGAAGCACCCGACCGCAGGGGAAGGCCGAGACCACGAACGACCTCGCCTGGTCCCCTTGCATAATTTAACTCCTCTTACCCATCCCGTCAGTGTCATTCTAAAGCAAGCTGAGTAGATGGGAATGGTAGAATTCCCCGAGGAGTGCATGAAGGTCTCCCCGAAGGCGGACCAAACAAAGTACTGCAGGTTTCATAGGCAAACCGGCCACGATACGGATGAGTGTCACGTTTTGAAGAGACAAATAGAAGAACTCATCCAGCAAGGCTACTTCTGACATTTCGTCAAGAGATCCAAGCAACAGCAACAGCCGCAACACAATCCACCAAAAAATGTCTGGAGGAATGAGGATGGCACAGAGCCGTCCACCTCGAACGCAAAAAAAAGAGAACACGACCAAATATCTGACCAGAATGATAGCGAGAAAGAAATCGAGGTGGCGCCCAGCCGACAAAAGAAGCACACCATACACTTTATCTATGGTGGACCCGCAAGGGGTGACACGCCTGCGGAAAGAAAGAAGTGGAGCCGTCAGCTATACGTGGGAGAAGTGGTGAGTCTTCTTAGAAAAGAGAAACAGAGATAGGAGGCCATCACCTTCTCTAATGATGACCTTCCAGAGGGCCCGTTACCCCATCATGACGCCCTGGTGATTGAGATGGACGTCAACAATGTCATTGTCCGCCGCATCTTAGTCGACACGGGAAGCTCAGTCAATGTGATGTATTACGATGCCTTCACTAACTTAGGGATACCTAGGAACCAGCTCAAAGAAGTACGTACCCCACTCTCTGGATTTACGGGTGATTCAGTGGAGACGGAGGGGTTAGTGGTCTTACAAGTGGAGATAGGCACGAGCCCTAACATTCGCAAACTTGACGTGGAATTCATCGTGGTAAGACTCACTTGTGTGCACAACATCATTTTGGGGAGACCGGCACTGGAGGACCTCAAGGCCATAGTGTCGGTGGAACACTTGCGTATGAAGTTCCCTACTCCGAGTGGGATACGAGTCGTCAGAGGAGACCAGCGAGCAGTACGCAGTTGTTACGTAAAAGCATGCAAAAAGATTGGCGGAAAGGACCTACAAGTCCACACCATCTGCAAGGATGATCGATCGGGTATGGAACTCAGAACATTTAATTAGATATTATAAGTAATATTTTGTAGTCGTGGTCCGCCCAGACCTGTAAACAATATTTTGTAATCATGGTCTGCCAAGGTTACTTTGCTCAAATAAAAGGTTCTCAGCACCACCTTCGATCAACCAAAAGCCGGCCAACGCCGCATTGTAAAAAAAAAAAAAAAAAAAAAAGGCGCACGCCTCGGCCCAGCGGCGGCGCCTCAAGTCGAGCCGCAAAAAGGCCTAAGGCGCGCGCCTCAGTCACTGGCCGAGGCACGCGTCTCGGCTAGCGCCCATGGCTGAGGCGACGCCTCGGCCAAACCCGGCTAAGGCGACGCCTCAGCCGAACAAAAAAAAAAAAAAAAAAAAAAGCCACCAGGCGCACGCCTCGGCCACGCTGAGGCACGCGTCTCGGCCATTGGTCGAGGCGCAGCACCTCGGCCTAGGCCCTGAGGCGCACGCCTCGGCCGGGGGCCTGCACGCGTCTCGGCCATTGGCCGAGGCGCAGCACCTCGGCCTAGGGCCTGAGGCGCACGCCTCGGCCACCGGCTGAGGCAGCGCATCGGCCGGGGCCTGAGGCACACGCCTCGGCCAGGCCAAGGCCCACGTCTCGGCCACTGACCGAGGTGGCGTCTCAGCCTGTCCGTAGAAAAAGAAAAAAAAAAGGGCCGGAGCTCGCCTCGGCCACGATCGGTCGCCTCGACTACGATCGGCCAAGGCGCACGCCTCGGCCACGGTTGGTCGAGGCGACGCCTCAACCACGATCGGCCAAGGCGACGCCTCGGCCACGAGCGGTCGAGGCGACGCCTCGGCCACGAACGATCGGCCGGGGTGCACGCCTTGGCCACGATCGGTCGAGGCGACGCCTCGGCCGTGATCGGCGGAGGCACGCACCTCGGCCACGAGCGGTCGAGGCGATGCCTCGGCCACGAACGATCGGCCGGGGTGCACGCTTTGGCCACGATAGGTCGAGGCGACGCCTCGGCCGTGATCGGCGGAGGCACGCAACTCGGCCAGCCTAAGCCGCAGCCCGTCTCGACCAGCAGAAAAAGAAAAAAAATTCATGTGTGATTTGGAAAATAAAATCACATACTCGGGATCAATCGGGATTCTGCACGATATCAAGCAAATTCAGTCTTACTCCCTAGTCAACTCAAACATATCCGTAGACTCAGGAGTAAGGGGACTGGTGACAGGATAATGGTGCTGGCACCTGACCTGGATCATAAGCAGCATCTGACCCGACACCACATGGAATGGTGCTGGCACCCGACCCGGATCATAAGCAGCATCTGACCGACCCCACATGGAAACCCAACGGGCAAAACTCCAACGGGCAGAATTCCAACGGCTGTCACCTTTACTGCCATTGAAGCCACCATTGATGTCACCATTGATGAGAGAGAATTAAAGGCTTAGCTCCCCATTTATGCTTCATGGTGTTACCGTTAGCAGCTTTTGTATAAGTAGGGGCTCCCCTCAGCTTGGAGGGAGACGTTCAATACTCTGGACAAAGACACTGTATTTTCTATACTGAGACAAAAGCAATACAACTATTGTTACTCTCTCATAGCGTTATTAAATATTATTATTATCGGTAACATTATTACCGTCAAATTTTATATTCTTTTATACTTCAATTTTGGATTGTTTTGACATATATAGGGATGCTGTGAAAAATGGGTTAAATGCAGGACGCTTTTGCCATATGAATTAACTGTGAAAGACAGTAGACCATATCATGCAAATCTTAGCACAAAAGGATACAGATCTCTTATATACAGGTTTGTAAAATATAATATGAGTCTAATTAATATGTAATAATGTTGTGAAGTGTGTTATCAATTCATTCTGAATCAAAATACTTGGTTACAGAATTTACTGTCATTTAAACATGGTAGCTCAATTGGTCACGAAGGTGAACTTTGTCACAAAAGACCAATGATTGAATCTAGCCTTTGTTGGTCAAAAAGATATTTGCTACTAAGTATATGTTTCAATGTTTTTATTTTTTATTTTTTTTCACTAATCTAAATAAACAATCGTATCCTATTTCAGTGGAAGTGCTGATGTGTATATTTCTTCACTTTATACTGAATTCTGGACAAAATCTTTGAATTATTCTATCATTGATGATTGGCGACCTTGGTTTGTGAACAATCGAGTTGTTGGGTATGTTATAAAAGTCCACTACAGATTTATGATTTATGAATTATAATTAAGAAAAACTAATTAAAATTAAATCATTTAATTTCATGTAGTTATACAAGGACTTTCTCCAACAACATGACATATGCCAAAATCCTGGTGATAATTAACTAATAGTATGTTGTTTATTAGCTCAAAATATATGAATATATGTATCTCTTAGTTGATATTTGTTACAGGGATCAGACCACATTGCTCAAACAATAACACCCGCTGAATGCTTCAAAATGTTTAAGAGATGGATATCTTATGAGCCACTTTAATATTGTATGACAATGGTAAAATCTATGTTAAAAGTACGTTTCATTCAATAACACATTGATGTACTTAAGTTTTATTTTGATGGTTTATGATGAACTTCATGTCAAAAACTACAAAAAAAAATTTTTGTAGTAGAAGATTATTTAATGAATAAATTACTATGGAGTATAATTTTGAAACTGAATTGTATTAACATTCAATTCATCACATACTACCTGAGGCCCCTGAGGGATTGGCATATTTTATTTTTAACTTTTTTTTTTTTTGGGGTTTGGAACATGTGAAAATAAAAAATTAAACTCCTTAATTAGTTCTTAGGAGAATTTGATTCAATTTAGATCATATTATAATCTTTACCCACTGTTGAAAATCAAGGAATTTCCGACCACCTGAAAGTGATCTTAAATCTAGTAAAAAATCCTTGTTTCGACCACTTTTGGTATCCGGAAAAAACCTTCGTCGCTAATTTTGACCACCGGAAATAAATAAAGATTGTATTGGTCCCTGGCAAGTTAAAGTCTAAAAGAGGATGGGAGGAGGAGGGGGGGGGGGGGGGGGGACTTGAAAAGACTTAAAAAATTTTGAAATTAAAATAAGTGAGTTTGAATTTGTAAAACTGAGTTAAGGGAATATAATTTCCTTGCAGTAGAAGTCTTAAACTTGCTAAATAAATCAAATTGTAGCTCAGTTTTGTGAGTTTGCTTGAAAGTGTTATAACAAATATGGGGTTATCACAGTAATAGATAATATGAAAAGTAGAGAGAGAGGGAGGGAGAGAGAGACGGAGAGAGGGAGAGGGAGAAAGATTTTTAATATTATTTTTTTTTGGTTTGGAACATGTGAAAATAAAAAATAAAAAATTAAAGTCCTCCTTACTTTTTAGGAGAATTTGATTCCATTTAGATCATATTCTAATCTTTACCCACTGTTGAAAATCAAGGAATTTCCGACCACCTGAAAGTGATCTTAAATCTAGTCGAAAACTATTATTTTGACCACTTTTGATATCTCAAAAAACCTCAGCCGCTATTTTCGACCACAGGACAAGGTGGTCGGAAATAGCATCCAATTTTGTAAAGTGGTCGAAAAATCGGCTAATAGAAAGATTGGAGGATTTCAGAATTTTCGATCACCGGTGGTCGGAAATTCCCAACTCAGTTTAAAAAATTTAAACGGCTGAAAATTTTTTCGACCACCTTTATTTTGTAGTCGGTACTTCCGACCACTAAGTAAAGGTAGTCGGAAATTCCAACATATTTCCCCACCATAATCTTTCGACGAAAAGAAAAAATATATAATATCACTTTTTCGACTATTTTTTAGGTGGTCGGAAAAGTGATTGGAAAATTAAAGATTTTCGGGCAGTGACCAGACATCACTCAACGTACAACTACCTCAAAATGACTACCCATATGTTAAAATTCTCAAAAATTTTTATAGTTCCCGAAATAAATAAATATTGTGTTGGTCCCTGGCAAGTTAAAGTTTAGAAGAGGAGGGGGGGGGGGGGGGGGGGGGGATTTGAAAAGACTTTAAAAAAATTCGAAATTAAAATAAGTGAGCTTGAATTTTGGAAACTGAGTTAAGGAAATATAATTTATTGCAGTAGAAGTCTTAAACTTGCCAAATAAATCAAATTGTAGCTAAGTTTTGTGTGTTTGCTTGAAAGTGTTATAACAAATATGGGTTATCACAATGATAGATAATATGAAATGTAGAGAGAGGGAGAGAAATTTTTATAGTGGTTTGAAAAACTTTCGTATTCCACTCTTCTCCTCAAACTCGAAGGGGGATTTCACTAAGTATTTGTTACAAAATACAAAAGTAAACTGAAGCCAATTGCTTCTTCCAGTAACAATCCTTGAGATAGTCTAGATCTCCTCGTCAACTTGTCCTTCACTGCCTGATCAAGAATTAGCCAAGAGTCAATCATGAAGTCGCCTTGCTAGGGAGATCCTCCAACTTCCTCTATCACAAAAAGTGGTTGTTGTTGAGTGTTCGACTTGAAAGAATCAAGATGAATCTGTTGGAGAATATTTGCAACGTCAACGCACGGGCGGAAAACCTTTTAAAAAGCACGGACACAACGGGTGTATGGTAGAAGGGAAATCTGTGCCGTGTTATAATAACACTACCTTAAAAGCATTTCAGTAATAGTGCAGTTAGAAACCTGTCACGCTTTCGACAGGCTACACAGACCTACTACGGATAGCTTGCACTAGCAATCACATAGGCGAAACACACTACTGCTCAGACTTTAATAGGCAGAAACGAAATTATATATATATATATATATATATATATATATATATATATATATATATATATATATATATATTTATATATGTATGTATATCTGTGTGTGTGTGTGTGTGTGTGTGTATGTATGTATGTATATTATATAATATATATTAATCCTAACACGAGAAAGGAGGAAGAAGCTATAAATGTTGAGTGTATTCTAAAAATGATGTTGTGAGCTACTATATATAGTAAGCAGCCCCCTCCATCCCAGCCACACAAAACATGAGTGACGTAGGCCACAAGTCCACAACATAGAGCAATTAGTGATGGCCTAAACAATTAAACAATAATTTATAGCCACTCATTCTATTTTCTCTTTTCTCTTTGAATTATTCACAACAATCCCCCACATATTTGAAGAGGAAAGTAAAAGGATAATGTCTGAGCGGAAGTGAGCGCTGACCTTAATGTCAGTGGTTTAGACCTTGAACTGACACGTAGTAACTTGAGTAACTTTCTCCTTATTAGTAGTGAATTGAATCTTGAACTAGCCAGGGAGAGGTAGTTTTGAACTCATGTCCACACATTAGCACCCATTATGCAGGTTCTTCGGAAGTCAAATTCTTTGACTTGGGGTCTACCTCTGCGTAGACCCAAACATAGAACATCTCATGTTCAATTTCTTTACGTAAGCTTGGCTTACTTTGTTGATTTAAAGTCCATTTCCTTTGATGCATCAAGGACGACCTTTCTATTTAGTCCTTTAGTGAGAGGATCTGCAATATTCCTCTCGGATCTCACAAACTCCAACGTGATTACCCAAGTCGTGATCAATTGTCATACAGACTGATGTCTGACTCTTATGTGCATTCTTTTCCCATTGTAAGCACTATTCTTTTGCTACGCATATAGCAGTTTGAGAATCGCGGTGTATGGACACAGATGGTGTAGTACACCCCCCACAACGACACGTCTGCCAGTAGGTTTCTTAGCCACTCGGCCTCTGGTCCAGCTAGATCAAGCGCTATGAACTAAGCTTCCATAGTTGATCTCGCGAGTTAATACCATCTGAGGTCCTCTGAGCATAGTGGTTTTGCCACGTTTAGTCCTAAACTTTCAAATTGACCATCTGTGGTCATTCGACTTTCAAATTTAACCATTTATGGTCCAAGATAACCACCCTTGGTCCTTCAAGTTTAAAAATTTAACCACTCGTGGTCCTCTTGAAAGGACCATGGTTCGTTAAAATTTAATAGTTGAAGGACCATGGGTGGTTAAAGAGGACCACGAATGGTTAAATTTGAAAGTCGAAGGACCACAGATGGTCAATTTGAAAGTTTAGGACTAAATGTGGCAAAACCACTATACTCGAATGACTCAGATAGTATTAACTCTTGATCTCGCTATACACGATTGTTTCGTAGATTTCCACGATACTGCCGCTCCACCCATAGTGAACACATATCCACTGGTGGAGCTTACATCACTACTGTCATTTACCCAGTTCGCATCACAGTACCCATCTAGGGCTGCTGGAATCCAGTGTAGTGTAGTCCCAAGTCGATAGTACGCTTTAAGTAGCGTAACACTCTCCTTAGTGCATGCCAGTGGCTGTCACTCAGATTATGATGTATCGACTGATTCTATTTACCGCAAGGGCGATATCAGGTCTGGTGTAGTTCATTAAGAATATCGGACTTCCAATTAGTTTGGCATATTATTCTTGTGACACACTCGTCTCGGTGTTTTTTTACAGTTTTGCGCTCGGATCATAGGGTGTTTGTGCAGGAGTCACTTCGAAGCTATAAAACTTCCTTAATAGCTTCTCTGTATAGTGACCTTGTGATAGTTTGTAGCCATTCTTGGATTTTAAGACTTTTATTCCAAGTATCACATCGGTCTCCCCCAGATCCTCCATGTCAAACTTATCACATAGTGTTTGTTTAGTCTCTTTTATAGCATCTATATTGTGGCTAAATATTAGTATGTCATCCACATAGATGCATATAAGCACAACACTTGAGTCTACCTCTTTTGAGTATAGACACTAACAGCACTTTTGTACTCAAGTCATTATGCAGTGAATTCATTAGGTTTGTCTCAACAAAACCACCCTTCTCAAAGAGTTATGAATTCATTAAGAGCTGTAGCTCAGCCTTAAAAGTACACACATTGTAGGAATGACTAACTAGTGTACTATTTTGTAATTCTTTTCATGGCTTCGTTTTACCACAAAAGTGAGACCCACCACGAATTTATTACCACTTGGATTTTAAGTCATTCCAATTACTAATCTTCATAATTAGCCTTCAAGTAAGTTGATTCTCTTGATCAAACTTACATGCACTTTGACGAGTACTTCATTTACTTTGACGAGTACTTCATTTACTCGTGAATAATCCCTTGAGATTTTCATGCTTAACATGAAACATTCTCTTTTATCATTATTCTCAATACCTCGAAGAAACTTTTAGTGAAAATATAAGGAGTTAATCACCCCCACAATGCAACACTTACAAATATTTTTTCTCAAAAGTATTTGATCTCTTACCCAGATTGATTTTTGGTGCCCAACATCAGCTCCATTGTAGACTGAGTTTTATCAATTTGCTTTGTGGAGCAATATAGCAGCTCCGCACTTTGCCTGATACATACCCAATAGTTGAATATATTTCAACAAACTCGGTTATCTCAACCTGTCATAATTCCCCTTTAAACAAGAATTATAGGTCTTTCAAGATGACTCAACCAAAAATTTAAATAATGATATTATATACAAATGCTCATTGTTAGTAAGACATAGAGACAATGTTGTCCACATGCTACTTCAAGTTGAACAGCATAATCACAAATTTCACATCATATT